CACAGGAGGAGTTTATACGACGATGCTGCCAGAAGCCAACAGTTTCTCTCAGGCGTTGTACACTTTCGACATCGGTCAAAACGATCTCACCGCTGGTTACTTCGCCAATAAAACCGTTGAACAGATTGGAACCATCGATGTTCCTGAGGTCATCAGCCAGTTCAAGAATGCTGTTACGGTCAGCCTCTGTTTTATACTCTGTTCCAATGAAATGTTTTTGTTTAAAGGGAATCATCATAGATGTGTTTTGTTTTTTTTTGGTGACAGAATATTTACAATCAAGGAGGGAGATACTTCTGGATTCACAACACGGGACCTATCGGTTGTTTAGCGTATGTGATCGAATGGTTCCCGATTAAAGCATCAGACTTTGATTCACACGAATGTGCCTCTCCATTGAACAACTTGGCTCAAGAATTCAATCACGCCTTGAAACAAGCCGTGATCGAGCTCAGAGCTTTTTTGTCTGAAGCCGCCATCACTTACGTAGATGTCTACTCTGCTAAACATGAGTTGTTTGTTCACGCACAAGGTCATGGGTTCAAGAGATCGTGTGTTTCATGTTGTGGTCATGGAGGGAAGTACAACTACAATAAGCACATTTGGTGTGGGAAGAAGGAAATTTTGAAAGGCAAAGAGATTTACATCGGAAAGCCGTGCGATGAGCCTGACAAGGCTGTCGTGTGGGACGGTGTTCACTTAACACAGGCTGCTAACAAATTCATCTTCGATAAGATTGTACCCGGGTTGAGTATGGCCTGTCACAGGCAGTGACAAGACACAAGAAAGAAGCTTTTTCTTCTTTTTGAGTTTGTTCACAAACTGAGATTCATGTGTTTTTGGTTGTGACTGATATGAACTTATTGAGAATGCAATAATATTTTTGGTGAGATAGGTTCATCATTATCAACAAGAATCTACATCATTGCTAAAGTCTCCAAAGGATGTGAAACATTATAGACTACAAGCATATGTATATAAAAGAGTTTTCAGCATTTGTAGTGGTTGAGATCGATAATCACCACTGTGATATCATCCATACTACCTCTACTCGTGGCAAGGTCGACGAGCTCTTTGCAAGCTGCTTTAGCCCAAGAAGACTCAGACTTCATCTTTATTCGCTTCAATGCCGTGATCTTCCGTGACTTTGAAGGTGGACTCCCCATTTCAAGGTGGGGTGATTCATTCTCTGAGTTGGATTTTGCACATTTGGGAGACTGAATTTGCAACAACTCTTTTCGTTGCTTGACAAGCGAAACTCTTCGAAGTTTTGAAGATGGACTTACATTGACAAGCCCTTGGATCAAGTTCTCCTCTTCGCATTCTCTAGGCGTCTTCCTCTGAGCTAGAACATCCAACACGGTGTCAACCGCTTCTTGATTACTAACCACATCCCAAAGTCCATCAGAAGCTAAGACAAGAAACTCCATGTCTTGTTCCAATTCAAGTATTCTTGTCTCGGGTTCAGCAACCACCCATTTTTTCAGGTGTGCATCTCCAATGCTTCTAGAAATAGCAAGTATTCCATGAACTCGCCAGGCTCCTCGATGGAACTCGACATAACCTCCCTACAAAAGACAAATGTCAGGGGAACTCAACACAACACACAATTCAGCAAAGTTACAAAATTCCTTCACAGCCTTACCTGATTCTCGATTCTTTCGCGTTCGTCATCCCTTCCAGCTCTGTGATCAGTTGTAAGAGCCTCAGCAACTCCTCGTCGAGACAGGACAGCTCTGCAATCTCCCAAATTGGAGACAATCATCTCCTGATCTTGTATCAAAGCTGTAACACAGCAAGCACCACTTACTACACCCTGCATTTGTTGTTACAAGTAAGCTCAAGTACATTGTAATCTTACAAGTTAAACTACTCATGGCAAATCCAAAGATGACAAAATATTTTACCTCTTGTAAGAAATCACGATCGGTACTCAAATAAGCAGCTTTAAAGGCTTCTTCTTTCTCCACTTTCTCTTTGCAATTCTTCATCATCTCAAGAACATTTTTGTGCAAATTCTCAGCCACAAATTCTGCAGCTTTACCACCTCCATGGCCATCGTAAACTCCAAAGAAACTCTATAAATCAATGCACACCAAAACCCATTAACCCAAGATTCCAGACCCATTCTACAATGAATCGAAGAGAGGGAAGAAACATACCATGTTTGAGTTTCCGGCAAAACAAGAAGCAATTCTGTGACTGTCTTCCATGAATTTCTTCTTGCCTTTGGTGGAGACAACACCGAAACCATTTCCTCCGAAGAAAACGGCGTCGTTTTGTTGAGTTAAATCTCTGAATCTGAGATTATCATTTTGAATCTCTTGCAGGACATTAGGGATCTCTATCTGGGGAGGTCTCTTCCTTTTCAAAGACGACAGCTTTTGGACCAACAATGGGGAAGAAGAATTCGAGGGTGTCTCTTTGCTCAGTCTAATTTCCATGGCAGAAGAAAAGGTCGCCATTTTTCCCCCTGAGCGTAGTGTGATAGAGGCAACGGCTACAAATTGTGAGTGGAAAAGGTCAATGGTAAAGTATAGACGCTTTAGGGCTTTTGGGTCAGTCAAAAACGAAGAAAGTTCATTTTCAAACATTCAAATAGCAAAATCGAATTTGGAGAAAGGAAAAACTACATTATATAAAGAAAAAGTGAATATATTGTTTGAAAATGTGGCCGAGATTCGTTCGCGGGCTCTCCGCCGTTGAATTATATTCCCTACATAAATCGGAAATTTCAGAAAAAAAAAATTAAACTTTTATACGATTATAGTCATAAATCGATATTTAATTACTAGATCTATCATATCTGGATATAAAAACATCTCCAACTTACATATACTTTTTTCTCTAAACTCTATTTTATAGTCAAATCTACTCTAACTTACTTTTATTTCTACCACTAAAGTAGAAAAAAATTATCTTTTCCTATATATATATAGGAAAAACTAGAGAATTCTTATTTTTCCTCTATTTTATATTATTTCTTCCAAAATAGGGAGAAGAAATAAAACAAATGCTATATTTTCTTCTATTTTAGAGTAAAATATAGAGAAATAAATTAAAGAATAGAGATATATATTTAAAATTGTCAAAACAACTAAATCAAGAGAAAATCATGAAAACAATGAACTCGTGACATGAGCTTTCAACTGAACGAACATGGGCCTAGACAATCACTGGACTACAGAACTTTACTGATACATCCCTCCACATCTATTATATAAACCCACATATATTTAAAATTACTAAAACTAGTTCCCCATTAATTTCCGAGAAATTTGTTAGGCGTTAGGCCAATCCAAGCATAGCAAAAATTTGAACATCCAAACATAAAAAGAAAATGAGGTTAATCGTTTCTCTCCAAAAACCTCCTTCGCTCTAGCAGACGCTGAACTTTTCTTCTCCGATCTCTCTCTCTCCAAAAACCAGATTTTTTTCACCACCAACGCGACAGGATCTGTTGTCTCC